GAGGGGGGGGGGGGAGACATAAGGAGACAAGACTCTATCTTGGGGGGGCCCCAAGAGTCGCAGGAATTGTACGCGGTGGGGACCGAAGGATCTGACGGTTTTCCGAAGGATCGGGATGTCCTGCTCGCGATTGACCCTGGTCAGCCTGTTAACGAGAGGTGGCCCTTTTTTTTCGTCTCGGACGTTCTCTCTCGCTCTCTCTCTCTCTCCTTCGCGGTCAACTCAGCGTTCTCACTGCGAGAAATCTTGCGCTGCTTGGCCTTGGTGTCATCTGGCTCTCCGCTCGAGGAGAGCGATCAGCGAGAGTAACGTATAGCATTGCGCACGAGCTCTCGAACACGTGAACTCTCATCGCAAGCGATGATCCGACGGAGCGATTCGGATGGATGGCATATAGAATATTCTGTGCTGCGCGTTCAGTTGGTTCGTTTGAAACGGAAATATCGGGAAAATCGAATAAGCTCCGAATTTAACGAGACGTAGAAAAATGCGATAACTGTGTATTTTTCAAAGCGATTTCACGCGGGTAAAATTGTATCTCGAAGGTAGGCGGTTTTTCGACATTTCGCATAAGATTATATTTTACACGTACAAAAATGGTATGTTAAATAAGCTAACAGCATGTCGGTATTTACAACAAGTACATAACGAATATACAGGCTGAGTCGCTCGTTTCGCAAGCAATCTAAGCGAAGTTTCGAAAATCATCACGTCACTTTTCAAAGTCCTTTCTCCGAAAAGTAAGTACAATGAGGACCATCAGTAAGCAGAGAACGTGCGATCGAAAATTGCCCGCTTGTTATTCGCCACACGCTCGGCTTCACCCACTTGTCGACTAGGAATTAGATAACTAAATCGATGAAGGATACAAACAGATCATACCGCCGTTGATATCTGTCATTCTAAAATCGGTATCACGAGAGAATGGATTTTGTTTCAATATTAAATATTTCGAGCAATGAGTTCAATTCAATTTAGGGCAATTAGTAATGTAAATTAACGAAGTCTTATAACAGCTGAGGCTGTTTCTATCAAAGTCGATTAACTTTAATCTCGATTTAACTTATTTTTTATCTTTTTCCAGTTCTATAAATTAGAAAAATTAAACCGAGATTGAAGTTAATTTATATTGATAGAAATGGATTTAAGAGATATTTTTCTGGCGTGATCGAACAATCGAGAATTTTTCTAAAGAAAAATGAACTTGAGATAGCACTGACAAAAATTTTATTGTACAAAATGAATTCTGCTGAGAATTCGTGTATGAATACCGTTCTAGGATATCCGGGCGATGTTCGAGAAGCAATTTATTCGGAATATGTTTCGCTATAACCCATAGATATACTAGGAGTGCGACCATGATTTCTAGGCCGAGGACACAATCTGTCCATATACGAAGGCGCGAAAATGACTGTATCGTCGATGTTGTACATATGTATGTACGTGTAGATCGTTTCGCGGCGACGTGCGATTTCAACGAGTCTTAAAAAGACGAGGAAGGTAAAGCTGAAAGCATGAAATATCTAGCGAACGCATCTCTCAGTACGCCAACGCTTGATGCATTTCGAATGTAACTTGAAAAATGTAACTTGAAAAATGCATGTAAACGTTACGCCAGCTTACAACACTGGGAGAAAAATCTTCGCGTGCGAAACGTTATTCAAGCATCCCATATTTAGTACATGAGGGTGGCCATTAACTATAAAGGAATGATCGATTGAACGCGAAGAAGAAACGAAAGTTCACCGAAGAAAGTACGAAAGGAAAATGTGGAGGTGAAGGAGTCCGGTGTTTCTTTTTTTCTTTTTTTTTACATTTAAAACGTCTATCTTGTGTTTGTTACACGAGAGATGCGCTTTTCATAGCTGGCTGCATCTCGTGCATTATATTCTTGTTCGCACGCGATTATCTTACGCCAGGATTCCTTTCCGCGAACGGCGCGCTGCGGTTTTAACGGCTCGCGTAAGCGCAGCAGGTGCCGCTCGTTGCCCTAAACGCGAGATGACGCAACGTATGACAGAATCAATAATTTTTAATAGCGGCAGTTCGCAATTTGAGTTCCGTTTCGTTGCCCGTTCCCAGCTGGAAGTATACAGTGTTGCGACACGCGGCCGAAGTATAATAACTTAATAGCACACGCAGAACAAAATGATGGAAAAGGAATCCTATTGGAACGTGAAGTGCTCGCTCATTGACGAAAAGAGAGTCACGCGATGGCTGTTGGATGGAAAGATTGATGACTAATGAGATGATTAATAAGCGATATAATAAATCATGAGTGTGAAACATTTTTTATTTAGTCAGTACTTTCTAATAATTGTTGTTAGAAGTCAAATATCATATATTAAATATATCGAGCGTAATATATGAAATACAAGGATATAATTATTAAAACGGATAAAAATTTTCTTGTCAAATATCAGAGGATAGACAAAATAACTCTTGGTCAATATGTTACTTATATTACTTGTTTTATTAATAAAAGGTTGGTCCATCTTTGTTTTTAATACACATTCTATCTACGTTAAAATATAATCACACAATGTTTAAGTAATATAGTTATATCAAAGGAATGTTGTGTATTATTCTTTCAGAATAATATCTTTCAGCTGCTTATATAAATAATATTACAACAGCAAGTTTTCTTCTCTAATACGAGTATATCTAATAATATCGATGAACTCAAACATTATATAATTATTTCAACAAAGATAGAACGTGTATTAAAAGCAAATAAAAAGTCGATCTCTTATTAATAAAATATTTTTCTCACTTTTTATTTTCCAAAATTACCTTCTCTTTCTCTTTAAAACTTTGATATTTTTCTGATCAATACAATCACCTGATTTATAGTGTTATTTGTGGTTTTAAAGAGCAGAAAGAACGAAATACAAATTTTTCTTTCTCCAATATTTTTCAAACAATTACAAGATATTTTGTTAGAAAAATATATATAATATAATAGAAAAATAATAGTTATTATTTTATTATTGTGTAATAAATAATAATCATTATTTATATATGTATAATAATCTAAAAATAATAGGAAATAATAAAAAATATTACTTCTTGTTATTCTATATAATAATACAAAATAAGAGGAAGTAAGAATTTATAGAGTTGCTAGTCTATTCAAGCATGATTCTATTCCAAAGATAAAATCTACCTATATTAGAGATGGATAAATAATGTAGGTCAACATTTTATCGATAAAATAAGTACACAGTATATTTCTGAAATGTTTACACACATTATTTTATTTATCCCCTACAATGCTCATTAATCAAAGATTATCGTTTTATTAACCACATATATTTACAAAGGCATCAATTAGGTGGCTTGAAAGATTAGATCTATCGTTAAGAGTTTCGTAAATTCTTCATAGCCTCGTTTGCAAATCACGCTTATAATTCTAGCTGGCAATCGGTTCTCGTAAGATCTGTTATTTGTAAACAGACAATTGCTATCAACGCCTGGCGTTTCACCGATGGGTCATCGGTAGTTGGTCCAATTAGCACGCGCTTATGACAAATCGCACCGAGTGGAATCTCCACCGTTCTTCGTGCGTGTGCGAACTTCACGAAACGGTCCCGGCACCTACGACGTTGCTCTCACTGATTGCTGAAAGAGAACGCCGCTTGCTAAATCGACGATTTATTATCGCTCATGTAGCAATAACACGAGCGAGGCTCGAGATGCGCACAGCTATGACAAACGTTGCGGTAATACAGATCGGATCAGATCGTTCCGGCCGAGTGTCTCGTTTTGTCCGATTGATCGATCATTGCAACACCGGACGATGCAAAAATGCGCGATGCGTGTTATTGAATCGATAGATTACCAATGAAAGCATTCTATATTGACACGCACCATCCACATAAAGTGCGTATTTCAACGAGATACAGTTTCACGCAGAACACAAATTATTCTGTAGAAAAAGAATCTGATTTATATTAAACATATCTGAATTACATTAAATAAAATTTTAATTGAAAATAAAAAATCAGAATTTTTGGTTGAATTTATTATAATTGAGACAACTAGAATTCTGATTAAAATGTGCGATCACAATTTTCTGATTCGTTTATTTTCAACTAGAAATTTTTCTCAGTACGACATCGAAATGATATCAAAACGGCTTTTAAATAATTGCAAAGTCACTCTTTGATCATATTTACGATTTATTTTAATATCATATATTATGAGGAAGAAAAATTTACTTTCAATAAAATTGTTTGGGCAAATATTAAGTTGAGGCATTTTTTAAGAATAATAAAAATTTGGTTTATACATACAAAGAATTTAATTGCCTCTATAAAATACGAATTTTTCTGTTTTAAAATAAATACAAAAATATTTATTTAAATCTTTTAAACAATTTATTTCGTATAAAATAATTTTGTTCAGTACATTTGTCAAATATTTTTAAATATATTTCAACCAATTTTTTGTTGTTACAACAAAATTTTGATTTATAGAATTAAATATTTT